GCTTGAGCCAGTCTCCAGATGTGGTGCTGGTGGTGGTGGGGTGGCTGGAAGTTCATCATAAAGTTCCAAGAAACCAACTTGTAATCCAGAGATGAGTAGGTGTGGGGATGAGTGATGGGTCCTGGCTGTTAGGGCCCACAGCCACAGGCACCCTAGTGTCCAGCACTGCCACTGGCTTGATCTGGTCTACAAATGCAGTGGGGAGGGGTACAAGTTTGTCTTAACATCCCAAGAAACCAACCTGAAGTTCAGACAGGAGTAGGGGTGGGGATGAGTGACGGGTCCCAGCTGTTAGGGCCTGCAGCCACAGGCAGCCTGGTGTCCAGCCTGCCTTAGATTTTTCCAGACAAAACAGCAAAGAGATTTCCTTAGTCTCTCTTCCACCCAAGATACAACAAATGGGGCATCCTATTGCCCACCCACCCTGCCAACTTCCATTCAGGAGTGATTTTTTCCCTCTACATTTGTTTTTGCTGGAGCATCCCTGGCAAAGAAATGAAATCAGAGGTTTGAGAGCTTGCTTTTTTTTTTTTTTCTTTTTGACATTTCCCAAGGGGCTGTTGTTCACTGCCTATCTCCCTGCTAACAGCCTCTAAGATTCAACATGATCTGGCAGGCTTTGTCTATTTAGATTGTTATAACACCATTTTTCTATGAATAACTTCAGTGTTGGAAATTATTAAAAGCCTTTCTCTTCAATTTCCCTATAATTTTGTTTCCCCTTGAATTTGTCTGGAACGATAAAAGACTCCGTTTTGCTAAAGCCATCTTGTGCAAGAAGACTGGAGTAGGTGGCATCTCACTTCCTGATCCTAAAATGTATCACAAGGCTATGATAATCAAAACAGCGTGATATTGGCACAAAAATAGGCATGGGGACCAATGGAACAGAGTACAGACTCCAGAAATATACTCAGAACATACAGCCAACTGATCTTTGACAAAGGGAACCAATCCAGTGGGAAAAGGCAAACCTTTTAGCGAATGGTGTTGGAAAAACTGGGTATCCACCTGCAAAAAGATGAATCTGAACCCTTATGTGTCACCATTAATAAAAATCAGCTCAAAGTGGATAAAAGATATAAACCTAAGACCACAAACTATAAAACTACTGGTAGAAAACATTGGGAAAACTCTGGGAGACATTGGAGTAGGCAAAAACTTCTTAAGCAAGACCTCCAAAGCATAGGCAATAATCCCCAAAATAGAAAGGTAGTTGGGACCAACAGTTAATGTAATGGCTATGTCGAGTCCTGGACCCAGTGGCTTAAACTCACACTGGGCACGTGTGCGTGCATGCCCAAGATCCCAAGAGGAGGGAGGGGGAGGAGGGAGGGGAGAGGAGAGGAGAGGAGAAGTAAAGCAAAAAAAGAAAAGGCAAAGCAAGGCCAGATAAGAAAAGAAAGAAAGAAAGAAAGAAAGAAAGAAAGAAAGAAAGAAAGAAAGAAAGAAAGAAAGAAAGAAAGAAAGAAAGGTGGGATTACATCAGATTAAGAAGTTTCTGCACAGCAAAGGACAATGTAACTAGTGTGAATCGACATCCCTCGATTGGGAGAAAATTTTTGTTAACTGTGCCTCAGATCAGGGACTGATAACAAAATACCCATTGAGCTCAAGCAACTTACCTGGAAGAAAACGATTAACCCAATTAAAAGATGGATAAATGAACTGAATATACAACTCTCTAGGGAAGACATATGAACAGCCAAACAGCATATGAAAAAAAAATGCTCAGCATCCCTCATTGTAAGGGAGATGCAGGTCAAAACCACAATGAGATACCACCTAACCCCAGTCAGAATGGCAAAGATTAAAAATAAATAAATAAATAAATAATGATAAGTGCTGAAGGGGGTGTGGTGAAAGGGGAACACTCCTACACTGTTAGTGGGAATGTAAATTGGTCCAGCCACTGTGGAGAACGATTTCTCAAAGACCTTCAAATGGAACTACCATATGATCCAGCAATTCCACTCCTGGGTATCTACCCAAAGGACAGGAGAGCACTCAGTTGGGAAAACACTTGCACAACTATTTTCATTGCAGCATTATTCACGATTGCTAAGACATGGAATCAACCCAAATGTCCACAAACAAATGAATGGATTGAAAAATTGTGGCACATATACCCCATGGAATACTATTCAGCCATAAAAAACAAGGTCATGAAATTTGATAGAACGTGGACAAGTATGGAAGATTTGTTGATGAGTGAAGTAAGTCAGTCTATGAAAGAGAGACATTGTATGTATCCACTTAACATATAACAACTGTCCACACTCTGTGGTAGAGACTGAAAGACTGGAGAACATAAAAATATTGAAAATTGTAATGGACACTAGAGACAAAGTGGAAAGAGAGCGTGGGTGGGGAAGAGTTTGGGAAAAGAAATTTGGGAGGAAAATGGAGAGGTAAGACACTTGTGAGACACAGATAAGGTTTATTATCTGTTGACAAGGATGTGTATAATAGTCTCAACTAGGCTGGACTGAGGTGTATATCATGCTGGGTAAAGTCTCTTCACAATCTAAATGATGTATAGCAATTTAATGTATAAATAATAAATTTTTTAAAATAATAGTTTTTTTTAAAAAAAGAAGTTGGTGTGATAACACAGATTGTTTTGCCCAAGCCTTATAGAAATGATTGAAAGTCTTTGCTTAACTCCATGTTAATACGTTGTCATTATTTCCTAGCTAAATAACAGTGTTCCTCTCTCTCTCCTGACTTAGTATCTTTTGACTGTGAGAAATGAGCCATTCTAGGCAGAAAGTGGACTAATTGGTGTGCTGGTCCTCCTCCTGGGCTCTCAGCCCTCTCCTTCCTCAATTTCCCCACAGAGTTTTACTAAATCTTTCTTGTGGCACTAATTACCTTATTTTTTTTGTGTTCCAACATTCTTATGTATGGGTCTGTCTGCCCAGCTTGAGAACAGGGCCTATATCCCTATATCTATCATGGTGATTGACATGTAGGAGTTACTCAAGAAATGTCATTTTCCTGGCAGCGACTGGACAAAACCATTTAGCCCTTTTGGGTGGTATCCTGACTTTTTATCTGCTCCTCAGTCACAGGAGACTGAAACTGGTTTCAAGAAGTCTTTGCAAAATGTGATGTTATTTCTCTTTTCCATCTCAACAGTCTTGTTCTTCTCTTCTTTTTGTTGTATTAGGCCAATTAATTGTATCTTCCGATTTCTGGAATCTCGATTGGTCATCAGCCTGTTCATGTCCCCTGCTCATCTTCATCAACTCCAAAAGTGGTGATCATCAAGGAATCATCTTCCTTCAGAAATTTAAACAATACCTTAATCCATCTCAAGTGTTTGACCTATCAAAGGGTGGGCCTGAAGTTGGGTAAGCATGGGATAATGGATACAGTTGGGTATGTAGAATAAACTCCTCCTCCATACATTCTAGACTAGGATAATCTTCCTAGAATAAGTTCTTGTAACTGGGCAGGGAAAATCTATTTTCTCAAGTTAGGGTACAAGCATATAACTCCAGAACATTTAGAGTTGCCTCATTGGAGGATTTTCAGCCCACTCCTCAAAAGCGCTTTAAGTCCATGTCTTGCTCTCAGATACACTTCACTGTTTCTGGTTAGAAAAGGTGAAACTACACCTTCTGACCTCAGAGGAAATAGCAAATGGATATTGCTAGCTATCTTATCTTCGACTCCCTCTTTTTCCTGGGACCAAATAGCTATATATCTACTACAGACTTATTTTATTTTGGAACCATCTGACTGCTCAATCCCTTTTCCTATGAGCCCACTAGCCAGCATGCAAGGCATTATTCCTGGGCCTCAGCAAATGGGTTTGGCTAGGTTACTAGTGGCTTCTTGAGAAAGATTGGGCACAGAAGAATGTGAGTTGAGGCATGGACTGAACTCTGGGATTTCCCATGGGAAATTCCCTGTGGTTTTAACTACACAGAGAGCAGCTAAGGGGAAGAAGGTAGGTAAACTGTTAGCAAGGATGAAGCAGCAGTTATAAGAAAGAGGGTTATAAAACCCAACTATTCATAAAATTATTCCTTTCCTCTTCTTCCTCCCAGGCTATGCATGTTCAAGAACTTTGCTCGTTTTCGCATTCTGGTTTGTGGTGGAGATGGCAGTGTGAGCTGGGTCTTATCCCTGATTGATGCCTTTGGACTACATGAAAGGGTAAGTACCTGGATGACTCATTTTAATCATTTATAGAGAGAGTAGGGGGGTGGTGCTGCCCACCTCAAGAAGTCCTGAGTCTTGGGACCAGCAGTTAGCATAATGGCTATGTTGCTGGACTCCCACGTGGTCGACCACAGTTTGCATCCCAGACCCAGTGCCTTAAACTCACGCTGGGCGCATGTGCGTGCGCGCCCAAGATCCTGAGAGGAGAATGGAGGAGAAGGGATTGCAGCATGGCCATCCCCCCGGGGGGTGATTTCTCGCTTTCTCTCTCTCTGTCTCTGTCTGTCTGTCTGGCGAGCGTACGTGCCCTATAGCAAAAAAACAAAAAAAAAAAAAAAGAAGTCCTGAGTCTTCACTCAATATGTGTTGACCACAGATTTTATAGTCAAACTTACTGGTAGATTTTCAGTCTAAGCATGTTCATCTAGACCACTTTCTGATTGTCAATCTATCTGAAAGAGAAATGAATGTGATGGCACAAAGAATGAGCAATGCTCAATTCCTCAATCTTCAAACTGAAGAGTTGAAGGGGAGGAGAGTAAGCAAAAATGAAGAGGCCTCAGTCCCCAATTGGACTTTCAGTCCCCAATTTCTTTCTTCTCTTAAAACCACTCATTTCTGGGACCAGCAATTGGCATAATGGCTATGTCGCTGCAGTTTGAGTCCCAGACCCGGTGGCTTAAACTCACGCCGGGTGCATGTGTGAGTGCCCAAGATCCTGAGAGAAGAATGGAGGAGAAGGG